GAGAGTTCTTTTATGAATAGCCTGACTTTTCTCTGGCTCAGTTCTCGTTGTCTGGTGTTTTGTAGTTTCCTTATGATAAACTTGAGTCCTGCTATGCAGCTGTGTGTGTAATAGGAAAACTATGAAACTCAAGGGGGAGGACTATATTCATATTTTTATTGTGAATATATATTCACATTGTCTCTTCTACCTAGGACAGTGCCTTGTACATTATACATTCCTTGGAGATTCTTTACTTGAATTATTGTCAAGATTCTGTATGTAGCTCTTTTCCTACCAGAGTATAGTTTAGAATATTTTAAAATATTTTCCTAAAAATACAGTGAATGCTTGGTAATGTTCATTTGTTTTTATTTTTTAAAAGGGGTGGGGTTACATGTAGCATTAAAAAATGTTTTGGTTCTTTTTTTTCTCTTATGATTCTGTCATTAGCAGGAAAGAGAAAAAGTATCATGGGGTATAAAATTGAATTATTGACTTTGGGTTAAAGTTAACATTTTTGTTTTAGAATATAAAATATAATAATATTGACTGATGAATATATTAAGCTGTTACATAAAATCAGAATATTTTGATACTGGTTTGAATAGTTTCCTGACTACTTTGTTTTTCTTAAACTGTAAAGGATCATGATTTATATTGTTATAATTTCGGTTTGGAGGATGTGTTATTTTTTAAATCAATTTCTACTTATTTTAAGAAGGATAGAGTAAAGAGATATACTCTCCCTAAAAAAAGAAACAAATAGATGATAGGATCAATGTATTCATCCATTGCCAAGTAAGAATAACATCAGAGTAAAATAGGAGGTTGGGATTTTCTTTAGAATTCAGAATATGTTGTCTTAAATATAATTCACTTGCATTATCAGGTTACAGCGGTGTCCTCCTATATTTTTCCCTTACAAGCTGAAATCTGTCTGAAAGTATTAGCTCTTCCTGTTCTCTGTGAGCGCTATGAACCCTGCCTCTGATTTTTAAAAGAACTACCCTCTGCTGGATTCAGCTTTCATTGTTGTTACTTAGATGTGGGGTAGATGCCATTGTAATAATTCGCATTTGGGATTTGTGGCTACAATTAGGTAGTATAATAAAATACATTAGGAATTGCATTGCATCAACTTCTAATTGACTGTTTCATTAGGGCAAGATAACATTTTTAAAGTATTAAAATTGTTAAAATCAATATTATCTAGACTCATGTCTAAGATATAATAGTCCTTTTTTGAAATATTCATGCTGTCAAATATTGAATTCCTTGTTCATTAATTCATGTCGTATTGTGTACATGTGTGTGCATGTGCATATGTATGTGAACAGGTTAAGCCATGATTCTTAGCTTTGACAGTAATGAATTCTGAAATCACAGGAAATCAGGTTTTACATTAGAACTCCATGTAGATGATGGTTGAACTTAATGATATTTAAGCTTGAAGGCTTCAGAACTAAAAACAGGTCCAGGTGGAAAAATGTTGTTGTAAATAGAACAGCAGAGTCACCTGTTAAAAAGTGTTATTTCCTGGGCCCCTCTCTACTTTACCTGAATTACAGTCTCCTGGAGTAGGGCTAGATCCCAGGTAACTGCTTTGCATGCTCAAGTTTGAATGGTTTTCAGATTCGTAGGAGTCAATACTAGCCAATTGGTGATTTTCTCTTCATTTGGAAAACATTGAATTAGCAAAGACAAGAAGGTAGCACATTTTCAGATATAAGTAGCAGCAAAGACTGGTGACCTCTGCTCTCAAGAGGTTTAAGCTGTGACATGGAAAGTGAGGCAGCCAGTCACCTGATATATTTATTATTCATACTTTGATCGCTGTTCTTTGAGATACTTCAGACTCTTTGAGATCACAAACAAAATGTCTTTGCAGAAGTTTGACTCTGGAAAAAAAATAAAACAAGGCATTGTATAGAGTAAAATGTGAAAGCATCTATCTTTTTCTGTTCCACTATGCAGGGGTTACTGTTGTTTATTAAGTTTTGGGTGTATTCTTTCTGTCCATTTCTCTGTTCTTGAATAAGTATGCTTTTACATGTATTCATGTATGTGTTTGCATATTTTAAATATTGATTTGTTAGTTTTGGGGTTTTTTTTTTTTAGTTCTTTGTGTAGTCTAGACACTTAGCCTTTGTTATATTGAAAATAACATTTACTTTTAGCTTTTTTTTTGGTGGTATCATAATAACTAACATCTTGCTTTGTGCCAGGAGTTCTTCTGAGCCCTTTATGTGTGTTACTTCATTGAGTCATCACTCTTGTCATCACCACTTCGTGGATAAGGTAGCTGTGATGCAAGGAGGTTCAGTAACTTGTTAGGCGCCCATAATTGCTAATTGGTAGAACCAGGATTTAAGTGTAAAAAGGATTTGTACTGATTTCAAAACAATATGCTTAACCCGTATACTATATCTTTATTTGTAACTTTTTCCAATGTAAAAAACTGGAAATTTAAAATTTGATATGAAGCTCATTTAAAAAAATGTATTTTTAAGAGGCTACAGTGATTTTAATGCTTAGGAATATAATACAAACATATATAATAAATAGATATAATACTATATTAATATAAGTATTCCATAGAATTTTGGGAATATTTGCCCTGTTCCTACTTTTCATTTTTTTAATCCTCACCTAAGGATATGTTTATTGATTTAAGAGAGAGAGACTGAAACAGAGATAGAGAAGGATATGTTTATTGATTTAAGAGAGAGAGACTGAAACAGAGATAGAGAAAGAAGCATTGATCAGTTTCCACTTGTAATCTCCTCAACTGAGGACTGAAACCTAGGTTTATGCCCTGACCAGGGATTGAACCTGCAGCCTTTGGTGGATGGGACAACACTCGAACCAACTGAGCCACCTGAGCAGGGTGCCCTATTTCTATTTAGAACTGACCTTCAGTAGCACATTCTCTGTTTTCTTCTCCCGATTTCACAATAGCCTGTTAATCTCCCTCTTGCCAATCATTTTGCTTTAATCCATTCTCAGTATGCTAACAGAATAATTGTAAGTGCAGTTTTGATCCTGTCACTTGGTCCTTTGTTTGGGAACTTTCAGTAACATCACATTTCTTGTTGAATGAAGGCCAGGCTCTTTCCTTAGAGGGCATTTGAAGACTTGTATAACTCTGTTCTACCTGTACCTTTCAAGAATTGTCTTGAGCAGCTTTTCTTGACACTCGATACTGCAATAAAATGGGATAATTTGCTTTTCTTCTTTTGGAACCACATTCTTTGGCTTCATACTTGGATCAGTTAGTATTCTTAATCAGCAGAAGAGGCTGACTGGCTGATTGAGCAGATGAGGAATTTATTTAAGTGTGTTTGTTACCTCACAGAATTTTGGGAGAGAGCTGGAAAACCAGGCTTAAGGTGCAGCTTGCTGGTGATGTGTCTCAGCTCTCCTCTGAGAACTGTCACTCACTCTCCTGCCCCAACAAGTGCTGGAGAAAACCACCGGTGCTGCCCAAATGCTGCCATTGTGCTGGAGCTTGATTTGGCCACGTCTGCTGCTGCCCCTGTGGAAGGCTGATGATGCCTCTGTAATTGCCTATGGCAGCCCAAATGGCAGTTCCACACAGAGTCAGCCCATTTTCTCATGTGACTCACTTCCAAACTGAAATTTTGTGCAGATGCTTCTGAATGTCTGCATCAGAGTTGCAGGGTATATACTGGTAATTTGAAGTCTAAAAATCATTTTGGGAGGTTGGACTTACAAGGTGGGAATTTTCCTGAGTATAAAGACTCTGCAGAATCTGATGAGAAACTTGAATATGGTAAATATCTACTCTAATACTTGTGCTTATTCCTCCATCATACTATTTTTCCCTCTTAATCTCCAGGCAAGTAAATTCCATGCAAAGACCTAGTAGAATGCCATTTTTTGAATTAGTTTGCCTGGTTCTTTCTCTCCTGAATTATCTTACCACTTTTTTCAATATTTCTTTTCATTACTTTATATTTTAAAGCAATATAAAATCTCAGAAGTAATATTTAAATATATTCTAGTATGAGTTAAACAGTATGGAAAGACATATAATAAACTGTGAAAGTTGCTTTTCACTACTTAACCTTCTCTACCCCATACTTCAAATTGCTATCCCCTTTTCTAGATATCCTCTGGTAACAATTATAATCTTTGCTTTTAATTTGGTACATTTGATGATAATTTGGCACATGATGGTAAGTTCATTGAGTATAGAGGCCCTTATTTATCCTCTGGGTTTGCATAGAGCCTACTAAAACTATTTCTGTGTGTAGTATAATATTATGTGAAGGCCTGACCTAAGACAATAGCTATGTAATCGTTTTGGAGGTGAAAACTTAGAACTTGGGGATTTAGTGAATGTGTAGGTAAAGACAGGAACCAAAGTATACTCTATATTCAAGAGGTCTAGCCTGGGAAATAGATCACTGATGATGCCATTAGGGAAGACTGGAAACCTAAGAACTATTATGTATCTGCAGATACATTGATAGAACCATTTCTAATTATTTTCTAATATTGCAGGAGCTCCTTTACTCATAATTCTGATTTGAATTAAGAGTTTTGGAGAGCTGCTAAAATGTTCACACTTGGCACAGATTTCCACAGTTTAGGAAAGACACTGAAAAATACCATTTTTGGTAGAGTTGTGTCTGAGCCTGTAGTGCTCGATTATGAGTAAGACCTCTCAGTGGGGAGATGCATTTTTCTTTTAAAGGTACAACACTTATATTAAGTAAGGTGAATATAAACCTGTTTGTAATCACTATTTATGTCTCAGTAGATGGCAAATGCACATATATTTTGTTATATATTTGTTTTTGGAAATTAATGTTTGAAAGTTCGATCTGTTTCACATAAACTTGAAGGAATAATAGTAATTATAACCACTCTTTGATAAATGCTTCTGGAAAACTTGTGCTGGGAAACTGGTGTAGATTTTTGTTTTGACATTTGGCATTTTGCCTCTTTTTTCCTCTTAATACAACTAATTTGACATTCTTTTCTCTTTCCAGATCACTCAACTTCAAGTGGCACATTAACTTTTAAGCCTAGTCGGTCATTGGTTACTCTTCCTACTGCTCATGTCATGCCGTCTCACTCCAGCGCTTCAGTTTCCAAACACAGGGAATCATTGACATCAGATGGCTCCCAGTGGAGTACAAGCCTCATGCAAACATTGGGAAATCACAGTAGAGGGGAACCGGACTCTTCACTAGACATGAAGGACTTCCGGCCTCTCCGGAAATGGTCATCTTTATCCAAACTCACTGCCCCAGATCACTGCAATCAGGGTGGAATTGAACATGCTGAAGAGTCAAGGTGTGGATTGGAAAAGACAGGGAGAGGCAAAGCTTTAACATCACAACTAAGGACAGTTGGGCCTAGCTGCTTACATGATAGTATGGAGATGCTTAAGCTAGAGGACAAGGAAATAAATAAAAAACGATCATCTACTCTGGACTGCAAATATAAATTTGAGAGCTGTAGCAAAGAGGATTTTAGAGCTGCTTCTTCCACTCTTAGGAGACAGGCCTTAGACATGACATACAGTGCCTTACCTGAAAGCAAGCCCAATATGACAAGCCCAGAGGCTTTTGAAACTCCAAAATATTTAATGCTTGGTCAACAGGCAGTAGGTGGAGTTCCCATTCAGCCTTCTGTGAGGACGCAGATGTGGCTTACAGAGCAGTTGCGGACAAACCCTTTGGAAGGTAGAACTACAGAGGACTCTTACAGTTTAGCTCCTTGGCAACAGCAGCAAATTGAAGAGTTTCCACAAGAAAGTGAAACACCAGTGCAGGTAAGACTCAAAATCTAGTGTTTGCTTCCCTCCAGTGGATATTATGAGTATAATAATAGCATACTTTCAGAAAGCATATGACAATGTGTTCATAGATACAGATTGTTTGCTTTTCCTTTCCCCTGAAAGTAAATAAGCATAGATGCTATAAACTCCAAAACTACTGCATTGATAAACAAAACTTAAAAAATATTTGAGACTGATTAACATGAAACACTTGGATTTTGCTTTCCTTCTTTCTCATTTGTTCAGTAGACATAAAAATAAACAAAACAAAAATATTAGTTTTAAAGAAACTTGAAACAGAAACAAAGGATCTGTCTAAAACTTGAAACAGAAACAAAGGATCTGGCTTGGTATCAAAGAACATTAATCTGGGAATATGAGGTCTTGCATTTTGTTTCTGTTCTGTCAGATGCAGAACCTGGGTGATTCTCTACCTAGCACTTACTATTTAATATCTGTGAGCCTCAGGTTTCTTTTTGTTTTTTAATTGAGATATAATTGATGTATAACATTAGTTTCAGGTATACAACATAATAATGATTTGATGTATTTACATATTTCAGAATGATCCACCACAATAAGTGTGGTTTATGTCCATCACCATACATAGTTGCAATTTTTTTTTCCTGTGATGAGAACTTTTAAGATTTACACTCTTAGCAACTTTAAAATATATAATACAGGCCTCTAGCAACCACCAACAATCTAGTCTCTGTATGTATGAGTTCTTTTTTTTAAGATTCCACATATATGAGAGATCATATGATCTTTGTCTTTGTCTGACTTATATCACATAGCATAATGCCCTCTAAGGTTCATGTTGTCACAAATGGCAAGATTTCCTTCCTCTTTTATGGCTGAATAATATCCCATTGTGTACAGGGTGGGCAAAAGTAGGTTGATAGTTTTTGTATGGAAAGAGTAGTACAATAATTAATAAATAATACAAGAATGAACTCCGTTTTGTGTACTCACAACTGTAGCCTACTTTCGCTCTATACTGTATATACCACATTTTCTTTAGCATTCATCCATTGATGGACACTTAGGTTCCTTCCAACTTTCGGCTATTGTAAAATAATGTTTCAGTGAACGTGGGGATGTACATATCTTTTTGGATTAGTGTTTTTTTATTTCCTTCGGATAAATTCCCCTGAAGGGGAATTGCTAGATCATATAGTAGTTCTATTTTTTATTTTTTTAGGAATTTTCATATTGTTTTCCATAGTGGCTGTACCAATTTACACTCTCACAGCAGTATTCAAGGGTGTTCCTTTCCCCACATTCTTGTCAGTGCTTACCTCTTGTCTTTTTGATAATAGCCATTGTAAAGGTGCAAGGTGATACATCATTGTGGTTTTGATTTGCATTTCCCTAATGATAAGAGATGGTGATCACCATTTCATGTAAACAAATTAATTCTATCAAAAATTTCAAAATTTCTCGAGAGTGAAAATTTTAAATTACTACTTACTCCTGCTACTAATAAAAAAATAATAAAGACTGAAGAAATACATTCTATGAAAGGATAAGGAGATCACTTACTTAGGAATCTCACAAAGCTGAGTGCAACCCCAAGCATACATAATCTAATGTGTTACATCCACTTAACACTTACAAATGTTCCTCCTTTACTCTTGTGTTGAACTCTAGTTCTTATAATCTTGATTATGTGTACTTAAAACACATATCTAGACAGAAGCATCATGATGTCTGAATTACAAATCAGAAGAGAGCAACTTAACCAGATTTATTTGTGATTTGTCAATTTGAGAGACTGAAAGATAGAAAATCTAATTAAAAAATGCTATTATATTTTAGTTCTCAAATACTCATTATAGGAGAACAGGGGCCAGGCAGTTATTTCTCCAGTTGGTATCACAGAATTTGAGTTGTCTGAGGGGGCTGAGTATTCTACCCCAACCTGAAGTAGGTGCTGTAGAAAGGTAACTGAGACAATTGGGTGAATTTAAAGGAATGAGTATTAATTCACTACTTTTTTCATTCTACTTAAATGAGCGAACTTCTGCTGCAAACAAAGTTTTTCCCAGCCTTGACAGTGCAGCCAGGTCAGGGGCCTTAAAGGTGCATTTGGAGCAAAACTTAACTTTAAATCTTCCCAGTACGTGGTCGAGGAAGAAAGCTACTAAGGGACAAAATTTGCATACACCCTTGAGGGTTCTGCTTTCTGATTAACCTTATTTTTAATGGTCTCTTCATAGTGCTTTATGTTTTGGAGAAAGAAGATGATAGTAGGTAAAGAAAAATGACATTTCAATTGCAGTATTTAAACAGTTGCTTCTCTTCTATTCCCTTCTTGGACCATTGTAGAAAAATTCTTAAATACCTTCTCTTTGGAGTATCTAGTACTATCCTTATTATTTTAAAAGCTTTTATCTTAGTTTTTTCTTAAAAGACTCTTTAAAACATTGTGACTTCCTTTTAATCCAGTTTTTATATAAAGAGCCACAATAATGATCAACTCATTCTTTCCCATGTGAGAATGTTTATGATTTTTAAGCACAGCTGCTAAACTCTCACAACTATAAAATAGTTGTGAAAAAAACAACTATTTTATAACAAGGAATTTGGCTGATAGTCATGATCTAACACTACAATAGATTTATATTGAATTTTGTAGCTCTCGGAATATTTTATCTCATTATCCTCATAGACTTCTTCCTCTTTTTCCCTTCAAATGGTTAATATTGTAAATAGTGCTCTTCTTAGGACTGAGCCCAGAATAATTACTGAGTCAGCCCCACACTCTTAATGTGCACAGTGTTTCATGATTTCCATGGTTTGCTACCCAATCAGCTACAGTGCAGGTACAAGGGGGAGCCCAAAAACAAGGAATTCTCTTCTGGAGGGGGGACCCCTTGCGTTACAGGCTTCCCCTGCTAGGTGAGTATACTAGGAACCCTTCTGTATCAGTGCACCATCTGGCATTGTTGTGAGAGGTTGCGTTCAGCTTCCGTGAATTTTTTTTGAAGACTTTCAGTGCCTTTGCCCATTTCCATGAGTGCACCTGCCTACATCATGCTGGGTGTTCAGCAGTTTTTGACCAAAAATAGCATGACCCCATGCCCCACCATTCCTATTCACATGATCTTGCCCCGAGCGTCTTTCTTCTTTTTCCTTGGATGCCTGGATGAAGAAACCCCTCAAAGGAAAACATTTTGCTGATGTGGAAACAAGCAATAGCAGAAGAGCTAAAAGGCATCAAAATCAATGAGTTCAAAAACTGTTTTGAGCAGTGGAAAAATGTCTACATAGGTGTACTGCATTAAATGGAGAGTACTTGGAAGGTGACTGAAGTTTAAACATGTAAGAATAAATAATAAATACACAATTTTTTATAACTAATTTTTTTTTGGGGTCCTTCCTTGTAGTGTAGTACTCTGAAGCACTTTCCTTTGTGAATGAAGAGAAGGTGTTTGCGCCCTCAGGTGGTTAGGATATAGGCCTCCCTGTGTAATGTCCACCACTGTCTGTGATTTTTTTCCTCTATTGTACATCACCCTTGTCCTCCCAACCTCCCCAAAATCTGACTCCGCAAGAAGAGAAAAACAACCATCTTGTTTTCTCTTTTGAAAGAGTGTATCTCTTTCCATGTCCCTGTTACATTTCTTTTTTTGTTGGCTGGGAGGATAGGAAAGGAATGGAGGGTATGTACCTCTACACAATATTATCCATTGGATTCCTATGCGCTCCCAGTGGATCTCAAGGACAGTAGTGAAGAAGTGGCCTCTTTATTGACAAAGCTGTTTATCCTCTTTTATATTCTCTAGGATATTTGTAAGTTCTAGGTTGCAGTCATTACAAAGAGGAAGATAAAATTTTGTACCTATTTAAACCATGTAGGGACAGGTTCAGCAAAGATATAGGTTCCTAATGACTTTACCATAGTTCACTGAAAAATTTCTCTTACATAAATCAAAAATGCAAATAAAAATTTGATGAAATGACAAAGTTAAATGGCTTGGATTTTGTCTAACATATAAGAACAAAGAAGTTTTAGCGTGAAAGTGTTTTATGTATTCTGTTACGACTTATGAGAAGAAATAGTTTTCCTATTTTCATTCTTATTTTTACACTGTTTTGTCTTTAATTTTTTTAAATGTTTAAGATAATTGCATTAAAAAGTGTGCACACTATAACATTCTGAGTAGGTAGGATATGCTATTATGACACATTAGTGAAAAAGCATATAAGTGAATTTTGTATACATGCTTTAATAAATAAAATTGATAATACTGGATGTTTCTTCATCTGTCAACTTTTCTGTATGGTATTGGAATATAATTTTTAGACATTTTAATATGTGCTGTTACTTAGAAGAACAGATTTTGTTTTGAGAATTTATTATTTTTTACTTTGCCATAAAACTCAAAAGTAATTAAAGGATAAGTAATTTCTAGGTAAAAGGAAATTCATTATTTTATGTAGGTCTGCCCTCTTGTGTCTGTACTAGGAAATCTTGATCTTATTTTATATGGGGAATGTCACTGAAAATAACCTACAAAATCAAAACTGCTTGTATTAGATTTTTTGTGGGCATATCAATCATGAGTGTATTAAAGAAAGATTTCAACGAGTTCAAGAAAGTCATTTTAATATAAGTGATTTGCATTAAATGAACGTTGTAAACCACAATATAAAAGGCAACATTAAACATCTAAAAATTCTTTTTTAGGACTGTGAACTAAGTTTGGAATTTATTCTGCAGTAGGAAGTATTTCAGTATTTGGTATTTAAAAATTTTTAAATATGTTATTTCATTATATTTTCCTCTTTACATATCATGATTAACAAAATAAATAAGTAACATTTAAAGAATGGATTTTTGTTCTTCATTATACCTGAGTTACAGTATTCTGTAGTCATTGAGTATAAGGTTTTAATTTCTGTTAAAGGCAGAGTGAAAAACAAAAACAAAAAAATCTTTGTTTCTAATTTATTAAGGAAAACTCTGTATCTGCACAATTTATAGTTTGAAGTTGATGTAGTGAACAATGTGTTGAAAAGAATAGAACTTGTTATTTCAAATTTTCCACTTATTTTAAAGATCATGCAGCTAATTATAGAAATTTGTTTTTGCATGAGTAATTACCAGTGAGGTGAATGTATGTTTTGTTATTTATAAGCTTTCTAGTTGATATTAGGGATCTGCAATCCATAGATAAGCCTTTGCTCAAGAAATCCTTCTGTCAGTATAAGATCCTTTTCCCTTGGTTCCTCAGATATCAGTGAACCTCCTCCCCTCTCCAGTACTTCCCAGAGATCCAGAAAATTTTAAAAATAATGTTCTCTATCACTATTCTGCTAACAGTGCTTGTGTTACAAATCAAGGTCAATACCGACTTTTCAAATTCTTTTAGTAACCATATTTTAACAAATCATATAGTAATGTAAATGTTCTTACTCCTTTAATAATTGCTCTATTAGTAATTTGTCTTGAAGTTAAAATTATTGGATGATACAATAGAGGTGTAAACCATTTTAGACTTCATTTTCAACTGAGTCAACTTACATTACTAAATTTTGGTTGAATATGTTTTCTTATCACCAGTTTTTACTTCTGTTGTTTTATGAGCTGTTGGGAGATATTTTTAAATGACCATAGGGGAAATTGAAAATATATTCAGCAAGAAAATAATTGTAGCTTAGCTTTCCTGGGTATATATAATTTCAGAGAGGCCTACCAAAAGTGAAGGGAAACTCAAAAAGAAAAACTGGAATTATGTTCTGGAGGGCAGGCCCCTTGTAATACGGGTTTCCCCTGCTAGGTGGGTGTCCTAAGAATGCACGTGTATCATTGCACCAGCCGGCGTTGTTGTGAGGCTGTGTTCAGCTTCAGTGAATTTTTTTGAAGACTTTCAATGTGTTTGCCCATTTCATGATGGGTGATTTATGAGTGCACCTGCCCACACGATGCTGGGTATTCAGCAGTTTTTGACCAAAAACAGCATGACCCCTGTGCCCCACCCTCCCGATTCACCGGATCTCTCCTTGAGATTTGTTTTTTGTGCTTCCCCCAAGTGCCCAGATGAAGAAAGTTCCCAAAGGGAAATGTTTTGCTGGTGTGGAAGAGGTGAAACAAAAAACAAATGGCAGAAGTGCTAAAAGGCATCCAAATCGATGAGTTCAAATTTAATTTTCTCTCATCTCTATAAATGCCTTGAAAATCCAACTCAGTCTGTTGACTCCTTTTCTGAGCAGTGGAAAAATGTCTGCACAGGTGTAATGCATTAAGTGGAGATCACTTTGACTGTGACTGCAGTTTAAACATGTAAGAATAGCTACACAATTTTTTATAAATAAGTTCTGAGTTTTTTAAGGTTCCCCCCTTGTATAGTGTTTACCATCTGGTTGATAAGATTAAGGAAAAGAGCTATATCCTGTTATATACAATAGTAAGACAAAAAGTTCATTTCAAAATGTAATCAAAGAGTAAGTTAATTTTTGGGGAGAGAATTCGCAATTTTATTTTTAATACTTGATACATTGTTCCTCTTTTGCTTGCCTGTATTGAGTATGACGCTAGAATGAAAGACAACCTATCATATCTAAAGTCTTAAGATTTCATGATTTCAAAGGTACACTATGGAAGGTTATGTACTTTAGCTCAGATAATCAACTACAGTGTCATAAATTAAGGTTAGACTCTATTCTATTAGTGCATTATTAATTATGGTTAATTACACTGTCAGCTGTTAAAGTAACCAGCATTTCTTCTCTATTGATTGATCATACTGTCCTAGGGAGATGGTTATCCGCATGTACTAGAATTCTGTAATTCTTTGAAAAAATTAGTTAAAATTTTATTTATATAACAGTATGGCCTTACTTTTTCCTACTTGATTCTCATAAACTTCAAAAAATGTTAGGATAGGAGAGAATGAAATTTTTCTATTTTAGAAAGGAGGTTACGAGAGTTACTGCAAAGATGTCTGTATAATAATAAAGATAACACGTGAGGATTCAGTGGGCTATTTCAAACAATGACACTTCATTTGAATGATTATTTTGGTACTTGTGAAGGCCTGAAAAAGACTTAATAAACATCAAAGAGGCTTTTATAGTACAATATAAATTATATTTACCGCCAATAGTGAAGCTAATGCTTTATATATGGTGTGAACTTATTAGCAGTACAGTTTCAAAACTAAACTCCTAGTTCCTCCTCAAAAAAGACTTGAGATTGAAATTTATAAGCTCTGTTGCAGAAACCAAGAGTTACATTATGCACACTATTTATAGTCATTTTAAAGTTAATTTTGAAAATAGAGCCCTTTTCACGTTTACAGAATCCGGAAGGTGAATACATTTGCTAACAATTTCTTCTGAATCTTGACCTTTTCACAAAGAATTTCTTCTGTGTAGGGAGTGGTCTGTTTTCCCCTCTTCATGGGATGACACATTTTAAGCCGATGGTGGTCAGTTGCAGTCCTGGAGGCTGCAGCAGGGCTTCAGAGAAGCATCACGATGATGCAGATCAACAGGAGACATATTAAAATGAGACAGAAGTTGATAAATAGGTTCTGGAGATTTTGGCGTGCTTGTTGAGGCATCTCAATGGTTGAAGCTCTTCTTATAGCAGAGCGAGTGAGGTATTGGACTTTCTCCATGACTCAGGAAAGCAAGAAAGTCTGAAGTTTTAAAGGATCAAAAGAAAGGTAAAAAGCAGACAGCCAAATGGGAGATCACTCTCTTTGAGGTGGTCTGGAATGTAAAAACAGTAAATGGATTAGGATCATAATGCAACCTAGTCTCGGAACAGGTAAAATACAATTTTCTATTCATCTTCCTTAACATTGTTTGGATTTATGACATTTAATATCTTTGTAATCTGTATATTTGTGTGCACACACACAAGTATTTACTTGTCTGTCCTGTCTTTTGTTGTTGTTTTTTTTTGGCAAGGGTCGCCACAATGTCTTATTTGTCTTGTGTTTAGAGTGTAGTAGCTTCAGCCTTTGCCTCCTCTCAGAATGACTAGACATGTAGTTTGGTTTAGGATACACCTTGTGTTGGGCTGTTGCTTTGGGCAAAAGTTCTTAGGCAGAGTTTCATTAAGATTATTTCTCTGTGAGCATAATTGTGAACATTAGTGTATTAACAGCTCTAGAGCAAATCTCATTAAAAAAATGCATGATATAAGTTATTCTTTGGATGTTGATTTTAGTCCAAAATAAAATAGTTCAATGAGCGGTGTTTCACCAGTACTATAGATTCAGATGTTTGTCGTTCCTTTTATGATTTCATAGCTTTGTAGAATATGCTATTTCAAACAACATTTAACAAGACTTGATGTTAAGTACTGGAGAATGTCAGGATCAGGAGTCAGCAATAAAGTCATCTTTATCTCACTGTCTACCACAGGCAGTTCCTATTTACAAATGAGATGTTCTTATTGGCAGTGGTTTTCATTTGCTTTCTTTCAGAGCTCCCACAAGCTATTCTTTCTAATTAATTAATTAGTTGTTTCCTAATTATTTGTTCTAATTAATAAAGTAAAATTAAAGCAATAACTCATTATAGAAAAATTCGGTATATTAAAAATTAACTACTTTAAATGTCCAGAGTTAATAGCCAGTAAGATTTGGGGATATTCTGTTGACAATCAGGATACTTCTATATAAATTTTAAAGTAAGAAAAGTTAGATATGGAATAAAAAATAACCATAATTAACTGCCTAGAGATCATGGCTGTTAACATTTGTTGATATATCATTGTTAGTCAGGATGTTACTGCCTTACTCCAGCTGCCAGATTTAATTTTCTCCCCTTTCTATACATCCGATGAAAATCCAACTCAACCTGTGAGCTCCATTTCTGCCAGAGACTAGTGATGATGAGAGCAGAAGGGAGAATGGAAAGAGTGAGAAACGGGAAGAGTTAGATCAGGCATGATCAGTGAGAACTTGCATTCATTTGTACAAGGAAACCATGTGGTTTATGGTAGTTAGATTCTGTAGTTCCAGTACTTCAACTTAGCTGTATTATGATTTGAATTATATATGAGACTGCACTTTAATTTGTCTGGACAGTCTGGCCTTCTTCATAGTGTTGGTTTGTAGAGAGGAGATCCCAACAGCCAATTTATGTCACAAACTTCATTCTCTTATTAAAGAGTTGGTCACAACCTGTGTTTCCTTAGTGTATATTCTCTAGCACAGTGATTTTCAACCTTTTTCATCTTATGGCACACACAAACTAATTACTAAAATTCCGCAGCACACCAGAAAATATATTATGTCTTTTGCTGATCTGACAACTGATCAAAAATATAGGTATAATTTTTATTTATTCACAAACCTGGCAGCTATTGTTGTGTTGGCTGTTGTCACCATTTTTTTTTTTTTTAATTTCACAGTCTAAGGGAAAAGAGTCAGTGTCCCAGACTACATAGTCAGGTATCACATATTTTAAAAATTTTTTGCAGCACAGCAGTTGAAAATCAGTGCTCTAGCATGTATATATGCACACACAAATGTGTATATATACACACACAAAGTCTGTGATAGAGTGAATTTATACTATTGGGTAATTGTGGGGAAGATTTCCTTTTTCCTTTTTGTATTTGACTAGTTGTTTTATATAAGGATATATAATAGGACAGTTGAGAAAGGAATACAAATTAACATTAACCATTTCTATGTGAACTTAAATTTTTATGCAGTTTTAGGATTTAAATTGTTTAAAAGGTCTGAATTTAAAAATTATTTTGAGACAGAACATGGAGAAGGAGGAAGCTAACCCGTTGTTCATCATGAAGCATTGTATATACAGGAGTCATTCTCTATTCTGACATTAATGAGTGGTGTGTCAGTCACATGAAACATGTCACCTTTCCATAAATACTTCATTCCTTTTATGATTCTGTCTTTTGCACATGTTGTTCTGGCTCTGCCCGGAACCTTTTCCTCCACCCCCACCTTTGATTCTTTGCCAGGCAAATTTCAGTTGATCCTTAAGGCCCAGTTTAAATAATCACTTCCTAATAAAACCTTTCATCCCTTTTTAAGGTAGAATTGTTTCAATTCTGCTGGTTTTCAGTACAGCATTGGTGTTACCTGTGTCAGGGTAGTTCTGTGGCTGTGTTGTAATTTTGATTTACATGTTTGTGTCTCCAACTAGACTTCTAGTTCATAAGTAAAAGGAACCACATGTTTATTTTGTATTTTGGTGTTTGGTGCATAATTTATACTATTTGAATAAATCGATGAAATTGAACAAGAAATTTTTATGACTGACTTTAGCATTTTTTAGAAAATTATTAAGAGTAACAGAATTTGATAGTTGAACACATAATCCCGAATATTCTTCTCAAGTCCTTTTCTATTACAGATGAGGAAAATGAGGGTGTAGAATATTTCCATTAGGGGATTACAGTTTAGGTAAATTGTTAATGATTAACAACAGTAACCTGAACTAGGCTTTGTACAAATGGATATTTGGTGTTTATGAAATACAAAATGGTGTGCCCTAAAGAGAGGAGCTCTCTACTGATGAAAGTATGATGAATGTACTTTTAAAGATGATATCATAATATTTCAATTGCCCAGCCATATTGAAAAAGGATAGTTTGTTCTTAGAAGCAAATTGAGTGTAAAGAGACAACCAAATATTGTGATTTGTTTCTTGTCAAATTTAGAAATGTCATAATTCTAAAGTGATTTGTAGTTACTTTATAATATTACACAAAAACCAAAAAGAAATATGTTTTACATTTTACATGCTGAAGTGTTAGCTGTGTGCATTTGACTTACTGGGTCCAATTTATTTTACATGGTATAGTCTGAAGTGTGCTGAGTCCTAATTCTGCTGATCTTCCAATATCTGTATGATAATAAGCCAAGATTTATTCATACAGCGTGAGGCTTCCTATTACATGTTAAGAATTGAAAAGCTGTGCATGGGAAAAACACAGTCCTGTTTTTGGAGTTGTCTGTGACCTTTACTACATCATAATGACATGGTTGTTAGGTATTTATCATTCTTTTCTCTGCAATCATAACCGCTCTGAGTCTCTCCCCAACCCCACTTTCTTAGAGCCAAGCTGTTAATATAGTATTATTTGGTAGAGAGCCTAGAAGAATAGTTTTACTTTATTTTCACTTTATCTGACTTTTTACAGCCTTTTTTTTTTTAAGGATAATCAGAAATAGATGGTGTTGGGATGTTCTGAATTTGCATCGGACTTAAATAGCCAGGGAGACTGAAATTAGCCTTACCTGCTCCCTCTTTTACGGAGTGACAATATGAGCAAATTAGGTGTTTGGGACAGGAGGAGTGAGGACATTTTAAAAATGTATTCATCTCCTAAGCCCTAGAATTAGTATATTGAAAATACGGAATATGCTTTGACAGGAGTTTGGTTGTAGAAATGCCAGATCCCTGTCTCGTGAGTAACATGTAAGAGATAGAAAAGTGTCCACAGAATATCTTGTATTACGTCTGTGAGCTCTATAATTATTGTGATTTTTGAAGGAATGGGAGGAATAACGGACTCTACTGTCCTTTGTAGGATTTATAAAGCCTTTGGTTTACTTTTCTTCTTTTTCTGAAAAGGGTGAACTTGGGAAGTAAATGTAGTAAAGTTTAAGATAGTGTTGTGTTTTCTACAGTGGAAGAAGAAGAGAGACAAATCACAGGCAGCTCTGATCCTTCAGTGAGTGTGTGCCATGTCAGGTAACATTTTGGGTCAAAGGTACTATCTCAGCTTCTGCAGAAGTCTTCACTTTGTCTACAGTGAGTCATTTTCTCATGTGATGGCAGATACGGTCTTGTGCAAAATGAAACTCAGTACTCTTTTGAGAACATTTGGTGGTCTGCTTTATGACTTGCTAGACAATCAGTTCTGTTAACGATGTTGTATATGCTGAGCAGTCATCCCCACTTATGATTTAAGTACTTTCCATCTTTTGCAGAACTTTCTGGACTTCAGTTTTTGGGGGCACTCCCTCTGCTGAAATCATAAATTCCTGAGATTTTTAAATCCTTATTTGTAGAATTAAGAATTTTGCTTCCTTTTTATTTTTGTCTGCTTATACTTTAAAAAAAAATTATGTATTGATTTTAGAAAGGGTAGGAGAGAGGGACAGGGAGAGGGAGGGAGAGAGAAACATCTATTTTTGTTGTTTCACTTATGTATGCATTCATTGGTTGATTCTTGTATGTGCCCTGAGCGGAGATCAAACCCATGCTTATTTATTCTTTTAGTAAATGTGGGCATCTTTTGCTAGTAAATTCAGGTAATAGATATTCAGGATTACAGTCTGCCATACTTATTAGAATTCCATTTAATTGGTTCACAAAATTCAGATTTTTTAGAGGTTTGAATTTATAGGAGTTGTCTGTCTTAGGATTATATTGGGATTTTATTTTTTCCTACTATTTGCTGTCATTTTTGAAGATAATTCAGAGGTGATTGTGTATGCATCTATTTTTGATTTGTTGAATTAAATCAGGAGAGTTCATCTTTAGATTTATCATCATTCTGTTAACATCCAAAAATTATTTTTCTTTTGAGATGATCTAATGCATAACTTGGAAGTTCTAATTGAAGTTATATATGACAGCCCCAGCTTTTTTGGTCCATACTGGCTTTTTGAAAGACTAGTCGAACTGCTTCTGCCTGGTTATGAAAGGAATTTTGTAATTATAAAAATCAGCATATTCCCAGCCTTTAAATTGACTCCATGATGAAATGTTTCCATTGCTTTAACGCTGTGCCTTGAGGAAACTTTATTAAATAAACAACTGTATAGAGAGATTTTCTCTTTGAAGTTGGCACATTGCAGTTGCTGTTTTTTCTGTAGGCTTGCCTTCGTTATGTTAAAATTAATTTATTTGCAATTAAAATATTCTCTTCAGTGGTTGAGACTTTAGGTTCTTATTTTGGGAAAGATCATGTAGGGACGGAGTACAGGTGAACTTTAAGGGAAAATGATTGCCAGTTACATAATGTACTCCCAATAATAGGAGAGTGAATTTCCTTTTTTTTTTTTTTTAAATACCGAAGGTGGAGTACACTTAAAGAGCACTAGAGGTCCTCAGTTGACTACAAGTATACTGAGGTGGAAATGTACGCTCAGGTCTCATTTTCCTGTGTTTAATTGGTAATAAATGCATCAGAAATATGTAGGGTAAGGACATTGACACATAGTATGTTTAGAAATGTTCAGGGAGAGACAACGTATTTTCTGATTTAGGTCACAGTAATTTAGAAGGATTATTTCCTGGATTTCAAACCTTTCAGTTCACCCCTTTGGTGGCATGATGAGCAATGTGTTAATGCACAGTTTAGATAAAAATTAGTGATTTCCATAGCATAAATGACAAAACGAGATTTCTCTGTTCAAGCGCCTCAACATATATGGGATTGAATATTTTAAATGGTAGAATGTGAGAAGGTCAGAAATGAAATTGAAGAAAGCTAAAAATTTAATGTAGAATTGGAATAAAGTATAAAAGTATGGCTTTTGTGAAAAGTTTTGAGAAATTAATGTGGATTTTAGGTTATCAGGTGTAAATAGGTTAGAGGGCATGGGTATTTTAGCAATGAAACAAATTAAATAAAAGGAAACTTTAATTTGATTTATTCTTATTTTTTAAAGTCTGCGTAATTGAGTTTTGCCTTCCAGGGTGTATTACTTAATAACTAAGGTCATCTATATCCCTGGGTTTGAAAATGATCAGGATAATATTATATAGGCTATTAAGGATATAATGTCTTATGAATAAATTAACTTTAAATGAAATGGAGTGGTTTTATATTAAAATACAAATTTGTATCCTCTAACTTTGCTTTTTAGAGTATCATTAATGCTATTTGAGGATTAATTTATTTTGTTTTTCCAATGTCATGATTTATTTTTAAGCCATGCTGATCTGTGGATAGGATGTGTGTGTGGTTTAGAGTCAGAAAACCTTGGCTCCTGCCAAGTCTCCACCATTTCCTAGCTCTGTGACCTTGGGCAATTCACCTTTTCCCATTTGTTTCCTAAACTCTAAAATACAGATGCAGGGTCAAACAAATAGGGAACAAAGAGGAGCACATGAAATATTTGTATACACCGGTGCGTTTAGAAAGTTGTTCAGAAATAAAAAAGGAAGTTTTAATTGAATCTTTATTTCTAGGATTGGTAATAAATATACAGTCTTACTTAAAGAGGTAATATAATCTTTACATTTAATGTTTACTTAAAATTTTAATATATTACATAACTTATTACATAATAGATTACATAATACATTTAAAAAATTTATTTTTTTGAATTCTTTTATCTATACAAATATTCTATCTCTAATTAGTGAGATTAAGAAACAATATGTAGAAATAAGTAACCACATGTAATTTTTTTGCATTTTAATGTAATTTAAAATGCGTTTTAGGAGATGATGTAACTTCTCTTAATAAGCAAAACATTCTAGCTCTTCCAAGTGTTTTTTGTAATTTAAACATCATTCACGTTTCTTCATTTTATTGCATCTGACACATTTTTTAGTGCTTAATTTTAAATCACATAGCTTTATAAACAAAGACAATACTTAAATTTTACCTCATGATAGAGATGAACTAGCTGCGATGCAATGTCGGGCACTAGGGCATAATATTTGAAATTTGAGCAAGTCATTGTTAATCTGGATATGCTATCTGAGGATAACTTCAATAGCAGAACTTATGTTATTTTTAGAAATTGTCAATGTCTTGGAATATGTGATGTGGAGACATTCTGATACTATGGAAACTCACAAACATCTCATTTGAAATGTGAGACCATAATTTGGTATTTGCAGAAAAATGAATAAATATATAAAAATCTTCACTGATGACTTCTGTGTACTATCAAAGGAAGAACATTTTATGAATATAAAGATATTAAGAGGCAGTTAGGGTGCCTCAGTGATAGACAAAAATTAGATGTTTTTTTACCTGCTTTAAGGAAAGCTGTTAGGGATATACAGAGTTCTTATCTGTATAAAGCAGTAAAGTTAACATTTGTTATAGGAACTTAGAATTCTAGAGGTAAATTTTATTTTCACATACATGTGAAAATAACAATAATGAAACTGATGTATTATTCTTTGTGCCATGACTGAGATTTAAGAATGAAGACACATTTCATATTATTAAATTGAGGGTTATATAACATCAAGAGTAGAGTAGAATTCAAACAGAAGTTTTAAGATTTATTGTGGCATTATTGTTCCTGAAAATTTCTTTCATATTTTTCCATTTTTCTTTGTCCCCTTCTAAATGCATGAGAGGAAGCTGAGGAACAACGGGGGGCAGTAATTTAATAGAATTATGTTTATTAATAGGCAGAATAAACACTCATTTTATCATATTCACTCAAATGAGATATTTAGGAATGTTTTGCTGCCAAAACAATGTCTTTTAAAGTGCTGCAGGACTATCTGTACCTTTAGAAAGAATTTCGCATGTATTTTTGAGAAGTATTTTAAAATTTCCAAACTTGTTATTGATGATATAATATGGAATTTAATATAAGTAACTCAATTTATTAAAAGCTTGGATTTTATTTTTTAACCGTATTAAGTTGACTGGACTGTATAGAGAGGAAAAAAGTCTTCAAAAGCATTTTAAAATAGTTTATATTATATACTTTTAAATCTCAGTTTATTAATATTCCCTGTAAGGAATTACAATGATAGTATGGGAATAGTCACATCAATAATGTGCATGTTGTACAATCACACAGCTGTCATAGTATTCCAGGTGTAAGTAGGTAGCCCACTCCTACCCTGTTTCTCAGCAGAGTGACAAATAACAGAATGAAGCCATTGTCTTTGCAAGGAAAAAATCAAATCAGCACTACCGCCAGATATAGCAACATAGTTGAAAGATAGTTTAATTGGCAGAAATTCACTTTTGAAAAGTAAAATAAAAGTGAAAGTTAAAATGACAAATCAATAACCAGGATCAAACGTGAATATAACCCTTATCATTTCAAAGTTGTTATTACTGTCACTGAATGGCTAAGCATTTATTTAGAAATTAAGATTTTTGTCATATCAGCTTTGCACTGAAATTTACAATATATGATTACAGAAAATAGGAATTACCAAAATCAATGAAATTTATTTCTTACCTTGACTGCTGTGATGATCACAATATATAGAGTATTATGAGTAGTATGAAGTCTTATCGGTGTTAAGCTGGAAAGTTTTCTCTGTTACCAGATTTATGAGAACAATTGAAGTAGGTGGAGGAGAAAAAGCGTTCTAGGGAGGACTTATGATGTCACATAGGAATTCTGAAGTTATGATTGGTTAGCATAGTCTTATCACACCCAAACTTTTTAGAATGTCATTTGTCTTACTTTAAGTGTAGAAAGGTCATTAACACTTTGTGCCTTATTTTTTTAAAAAAATATGTGATATATAAATGAAAAAAATTAGTTTGGGGTAATAGAAAGCTCTTTTTAAAGACTCATGTGTCTTTGGGCTTAGAAATGATTGTATACTGATAGTGATAATGTTGAAAAACTAAAATAGTTATAGTAACAGGAATTTTTATAATGAGAATAATAATACTGGCTGAAGTCAAACAACTTATTGAATTGCTTTTGCTGCTATTGCTTTAATTCTGCAGCCTCATAATGCTAACTTCTAGAAACACAGTAATTGAACATGTTCACAGAAACAAATTTTATACCTTTTTCTGTTTTATTTTGCTTTTTTTCCTTATCTGTGAGAAATCTAGGCTAATAACTGATTTTGGTTTCAAAAAATTAGCTTTTATGTTTAAAGTAATAACTAATAAATGTATTTAATACATTTGTGTTTTCTTCAATTAGGGTTTTAACAATATATTTATTTTCTGGGAGAGCTATTTGTTAATATTTAATTTTTTTATACTTATAGCAGAGTGAACTCAGATTGCTTTCTTATGGGTAACAAAAATGTGTTGCAGCAGCGGCTGTGTGTCCTTAAATGGAGATGATTTTGGCTCCTTCCAAAGAAAGATAAAATCATTCTCTAGAGCAAATCTCTCATTATGTAAAGAATCAACTAAAACTAACAGAAAAATAATTATTTCCACAAAGATCTTCTGTGAACATTGCTAAGGGAAAATTTACAACTTAAATGTAAAACCCAATATTAAAAGTATTGTCTTAATAATGTCTGACATTTGCTCAGTGCTCTGCGAGCATTTTTTTTCTTTCAGTCCTTTCATAATAAAAATCTGTATTCATCATCAATTACCAGTGATAACTGAAATACAAAACCTAGGTTTGAAATACAAGCATAAAGGGATTTACATTTCTATGTGCAAAGATGACATCTGCTGAGAGATTGAAGATTTAAATCTGGATGTTTAATTATAATTCAATGACAGATTGGCATGTATGGAAGGAAAAATCACAATTTGAACATAGATTTCATAGAGTAGCATATATCAACTAAGAAATTTTGATAGCAATAGATAAGTTTTATTGAAAAGTTTTATTTTTATAAAGTCTGCTTTTTAAATTTGCCTGCCAGATATACATTCATTTCAAAGTGAAGCTTAGGAGATAGATCACTGTAGTATAAGCACGTCTAGTTCTAAGAAAGAGAATTAGTAATATTAGTAATACTTAGTTGGATATACTTAGAAACTTTCATAGACTGAATGAAATATGTCATAGGTATTTCACCTATTGCTGTATTTCTTTAAAGGTATACACAGGTGTGCATATACAGGTGTGCACACATATGCTCACACAGATCCCTTAGAAGGATGCTAATTAATGGTGTGTGTCAGAATTGGTAAATGGAGACAAAATTTACTTTTTCAGATTTGTACAAGGGTGGGAAACGTCTGTGTTTATGCTTTTTATTTTTTCCCCTGTCCTTAGTTGTGGCTCCTTGTTATTGTTAGTCTAAATGGAGCTCTGGGAAAGATTACATTTTAGTTTTAGCCAGATTCAGCTAAACAGAAAGTTGTTTAATAAATAGCATTGGTGAGCTACAATATAATCAGTAGAGTATTCCTCAAAAACTCCACAGCTAGGGGCTGGAAATTGTTTTTAGAGGTGCTTTGTAAGAATATTCATTTGGAGTTAGACTGTATAATTAGAATCCTTTTTTGGTCACATGACCATATGCGATTTCCCTTAGCTGCCTTATCTGTGCAATTGGGTTGTTGTGAAGGTTTAATGAGATGCATTATGAGTAGTGACTATTAGAGATTATGCAACACATTGTCTGTTTAGTGTTAGTACTTTTCTCTTTTTTTAGAAGATGATTCTTAACCTGCAGTCCATGGGTAGAGTTCAGTGGTCTTTGAACTTGGATAGGAAAGATTACATCTTTATTTTTACTAAACTCTAAATGAGATTTAGTACTACTTTAGTTTTGACTACAGACCACAAACTGCAGAAGTGTTAGCAGTACATTTGGCATCACTTTAGCCATCTCAGATAATTTCATATATTGTAGTTGTTGCAGATAGCTGGAAATACTGTTTATATTCATAACTATTTTGAAATTACCATAATTTAATCTGTAGATATTATAATTTAGTGTATTAAAGAAGCACAGGTATTACAAATTTGTTTTTTAAAAGTAATTATTTCATTGTAATTAATTTTCTTTCTAGTCCTATGCATCTTATTTTTTAGAACAGTTCTAAATTTATGGAATTATTGCAAATCTAGTACATAGGGTTTCTGTGTAGCCCACATACTGCTTCCCCTATTATTAACATCCTATATTTGTATGGTACATTTGTCACCAGAGTTGCACCAAAATAGGTTATTTTAACAAATACCCAAACTTTATTCAAATTCTCTCAGTTTTTTGTAGTGTCCTTTTTCTTTTTGAGGATTCTATCTAGGATACTGGGTTGCATTTAGTAGTCATGTCTCCTTTGGTCCTGTTGGTTGTGACAATTTCTCAGACTTTTTTTTTGATGACCCCAGTTTGAAGAGTGCTGGTGAGATATTTTGTAGAATGTTCCCTAGTTGGTGTTTTTCTCATGTTTAGACTGGTTAGTGTGTTTTTTGAGAGAAAACCCAGAGAAGAAAAGTGCCATTTTCATTACATGCCAAGTGTATGTGCTATCAGCATGACTTATCACTGTTATTGTTAAACCTTCATTACCTGGCTGAAGTGTAATGTTCGTCAGCCTTCTTCATTGTAACGTTACTTTCCCCCACCCCTTCCTTACAGTACTCTCCAGAAGAAAGTCATTATGCACAGCCCACACTTACATGTCACTATCTTTCGAGTGGAATGTCTATAAAAATTACTTGGAATTCTGTGTATTTTATGTATATAAAAACATCCTAAGAACAGATCAGTAGCCTGTAGCAATTGGCTAGAAAAGTCCATGGCCCGAAAAGTTAAGAATTCCTATGTTAGAGGATGTTTCTGTAGTTGATTGGGGCAGCCCTTTTTGGAAAGAGGAGGACTGAATTCTCAAACAGGCTAAAATCCAGACCTCTTGGTTTGCTTTTTTAGGCCCTGTCTTTCTAGCTTCATCTCTTATCACATTCCTTTGCATTTTGTGCTCTGGCTCTGTACAGCTGCCAGTGACTCTCTGAATAGGCTATTGTTCTATTTTAAGCCTCCCTACTTTTTGTAGGAATGTCCTTACCAACCTTCTGCCCACCAATGCACTGTTTTAGTTTGTTTCTGCTGCGCAGCTCTCGCTGTCTTCTGTCAAACAATTTTGCATGTACCTCTCTTATCTGTCTCCTTTCATTGCATTTTTAAGTGCATGTGCCTAGAATAGACTGCAAACTGCCTGAGAGCTCATCCAGTAACTCTTATTTATTCTGCAATTTATTCTTTATAGTATTATTACCTAGTACGAACCTGGCTCATAGTAATTCTTAAATATTTATTGAATGAATGATTGGATGGGAGAACCAGAAAAGATTACCAGGTTGGTAGTGAATGATCCTGCAGAAGTAAGTGTTAGGGACAATTGTAAAATCCTTCTCAATTTTAAGCTAACTGTAGAGGAGTAGGAGAAAGATGGGGAATTAAGGATAAGAGTGGAATAGCTGGGAAGAATCACTCTTCTCCTTGTCATTTAAAAATGTTTAAATATATTTGGAGGGTGAGAGTAAAGAAGGAACCCCCACCCCGAAAAAAGAAATGTGAAGGCAGGCCAAACCATAAGCCTGCATCCTCTAAACTTATTAATATTTTGGGCATTTTTATGTGATTTTATATTAAAATACACATTTTAATAAGTTTGTTGTTTTTAAGCATATAAATGTGCCATAATTGATAAAATTAGTCTCTTATTAGATATTAGGTGATTTATAATTTTTGCCAATATAAACCATATAAAATAACACTGTGATAATAATTCTGAAAGTTTTGGTAGTTACAGTATTTCTGTGATAGTATTTCCTTTTATATCAATAAACTTCTGTGAGGAAATTACCTAAGAATAGAATTTTTCTTGGTGAGGATTAGACTGAAGCTGGCAAACATGCGGAATGATGTGACTGAGTCACCCTAGCAACTAAAGGAGTCATGCTTTTTGGTTTAGATCACGTGGCCTTTTGAACTGTGCTCCTGCACCATGGATTTAATTTAGATCTGAGCTTTTATGTAAAGACTTTGATTATAACATTTGTCCTTGATTTCCTGAGGTGAGACCCTCTAAAACATAATAGCTTTTGTCCATCAGTTACACACTTAGCCCTCTTTAAGTTTATAGAAAATAAATGCAATTGATCCTTGATTTTTTTCAGTATAGATGCATTCTTGAGAATGTTATGTAAATGGATTTTGATATGTGGAATTCATATTTACCTTATCAAGCAAGAGATATAAAGTATCAATACGCTTAATTTCCTAATGCGTAGACATTGTAACTGTTTATCAGCAATTTAATGTACTGAGAGTTGTACATTGTTTTTGAAATATCTCAGTGAATTGGCACTTTATCTTTAACCCACTTCCAAATTACATCTTACAAAGTATCGAAAAAGGATTTGAACATATTTGCCATTTTCATTTGCTCTTGAATTGGTCAAAGGTGGGTAGTGAGTGGGTTCCAGGACCAAACCTAGCATTAGGATCAAGAATGCTTTTGTCATAGTTGTTAATACTAGGTTTCTCTGTTAATATACTCGTTCTTATAGGTTTATTGCTTAGTTGGGGCCGTGGATATCTCAAGTGTTTATTTTTGATTCCAACATTAATATGTTGATTTTTAAAAATCTAATTTGAAAAAATAAAA